GTCACTCATATACCTCAGCAACCCCTCAGTCATCTCTGTGAGTAAGCTCAGTAAATTCACTGGTTCCCCAGAAAAACTATAATGTAATCAAACATTGGTTTGATACTACAACCTAAAAAGGGGAAAAAATTGCTTAGTATCCCCAGGAAAAGAAGTCTCACAACAGATGAAAAATTTGTTTGCTAATGTTATTATCTCATGGTTATTAAAAAAAGGAAAATGGAAAAGTGGAGGATGTTGGAAGGATATGAGAATGGAGATATTTTTAAAGAAGGATTTATGTATGAAAAGTATGATGGCTGGATATTTCCAGAATTGACAGAGAAATGAGAAAGACGGGCAGGTGATGAAGGTCTGTGTATGGTTGTTACAATATAACAAGGATGAGACAAGGATAATGTGTAGACAATCTTAAAATTTCTAAGGTTGCAGCTTAGTCAACTGGTCTAAGGATGTCTAGTCAAGGTTTATTTAAGGATGTTGCCCAAGCTCTATCTACATAGCACATGGTAGTTAATGTACCAGACTGGTGTAACTAACCTTGTTGGATGTTTAATAGCCAGACTCTAAGGCCTATATTAATCTGGTCAGAGGGACTTAAAGGGACAAATTTTTGTTCCTGGCCCTCCAAGGTCAAACAAGTTCCAGGGGCTATGGTGCATCTCTCACAATGTCCTGTAACTTTGGTGAGTCACCTGTCCTCTTGTTCAGGGAGGCCATGGAGACCCCAGAAGATGGACTTAAACCAGTGTCCAGTCTGCAAAGAGGAGGATCAACACAGAGGAAACATTTCCTCCATGCTTCCAAGCAAAGCCCTGGTCAAGCAAGACCTTTTGACTTATCTTCACATAGATGGAACTGGTAAAAGAAAAGCCTGAGGAGCCAGGGGCTCCCTGCAAGCCCATGTGACCCCAAATGGCCAAATCCTCATACAACCTTAAGAGTAAAAATAAATTGATTTGGGCCAACAGTATGGTCTTAAACACCCAAAAGGAAAGTATAACCAAAATTAAAGTCATCAGTATATTTTAGGGGTTCAGGGGATTACACAAACCTGACATTAGACATAAGTTCTTATGTTATTTAGACAATTATCTCTCATTGATGATTTTGTTCCTAATGACACAATGTTACTCAGATATAAGACTTCAAATCTTGGTCTACAATACTGTAGTGCCCACTTACAGCTAAGAGAGGCAACCCACTATTGTTCTAGCCAAAAAATGAAATGATGGCTAAATTTATTTTCTCTCCCTATCTAGAAGCCTTTGAGAGGTAACTGACACTGATTCTAGCCGATCTCTGTGAGTTCGAGGCCAGCCTGGTCTATATAGCAAGTGCCAGGACAGCCAAGTCTATGAGGAGACCCTGTCTCAAAAAAAAAAAAAAAAAAAAAAAAAAAGAGCTATTACCTTGATGCTAACCATTGCTCCTTGCCTCTTCAGATATCTTCAGGACCAAATCCAAAAACTAACTCTTACTAATTTTAATCAGTTGTTACTTTCCTTCCCTCCACATGTACACAAGTGCCTGTCAACCATCGAGGACCCTGTTGAAATGCGTGAAGAGGGTATCCCTGCTGTCTGATCAACCCCTAATCCAACCTACCCCCCTCACATTGACCCTGTCCAGCAGGAAGTAGCAAGATGACAACGGTGCCCCCTATCCTATAACACAAAAGGCTGGAATGTGACAGTTCAGATAGTCCCACCCGCTCACCAGCAGGATCCCAAGGACTTCTCATGCTCCTGAGAAAAGGGAACCTGGCTGATAAGCACCTTAGTCTTTGAAGTCAAGAGAAGCAGACTTTTCTCCACTGTTTGGCCAACACAGCAGGCTTCCCTTTTGATCTCTAAAGAGGACAGGTTTTAACAGTCCTGCTCTCCCACTTCCCCCCCCCACCCAACTTAAAAAAAAAAAAAAAACATCTTCCCACCTTCTGCAGGAAGCAGAAGCCTCCCTTTTAAAAAGACCCCAGCTCAAGACCCAGGCAGAAATTTTCCCTGCCCGGAAGAGAATCTGTCCCATGTGTTCCTATGCTAATAAACCCTGTTTTGATGGAGTTTTAGCTGTGCCTTGGTGCCTCATCCTCCATTCGCTTGTTCTTCACCAACTTTTTACCTATCAACATTGACATGTTTGTTCTCTCTGCTTTTCAAAATGTACTTGTCTATTTAATTGGCCTATTTAGGATGAACCACTGAGACTAGCTTAGAGTTGCCAAGACTCAAGATTTGGCTCTAGCAACTCTGCTAACAAGGTGAGCTGGTTTGTGTGTCTATATCGACACATCACATCAAAAGCCTAAAGCGCTGCCTTTCTCCTTAATAAACTCCCCTAAGGCAAAATCCAGAGTCATGGCTTCAACAAAGAAAAAGTTTCAGGGTGCGCATATGTGAAGTAAATTTGGAAATTTATTTTATGTATATGAGTGTCTGTCTCCATATACATATGTGTTCCACATGCATGCTTGATGCCTGTGGAGGCCAGAAAGGGGCATTAGATGCCCTGGAACTAGAGTTTTAGACAGTTAAGAGCTGTGATGTACATGCTAGAAATAGAACCTGAGGCCTCTGAAAGATCAGTAAGTACTCATAACTGCAAAGCCATCCCTGTACCCCTATTAAGAAGCATTTTAAACATGGATATCAAACAGTGTTCAGTAGAGAAATGCAGAGAGAAACAAGATATAACTGTCAAGGAGAAGAAAGCAGAGGCTCAGAAAAGGAGCTGACAGATAATTACCATTCAGAAATTAGCTTTATTATGAGAAGGAGGCATTAGAGTCCATGGGGATGGGTGTCATGATTGGATCTTGAGATGAGAGAGCAGTACGGGAGACAGCACATCTTACTAGAGGCAGCATGACAAGGCCATGAGGCAGGGAATGTTACAGACATCGTAAAAACACTGAGAGAGTTAGCTTAGGTTAAAGAGTAGGGAGAGAGTCATCACAGGCAGCATGGGTGGAACACATGAGGATGGGAAGAGAGTGCATGTGAAAGAAAGTTTTCCAACCAGAGTGCTAGAGAAAGAGTCGGACATCTCTTTTACAATGTTTCCCGGGGGTCAGAAGTAGACATAGCTAAAACCAAGTTTCTAGGATGGGAAACAGAGCTGCATGTTGGAAGTAGCAGATATAAGGAAACACATTTTTGTTGCATCTATAGGAAACAGGGACCAGAGCAGCATGGGGAAGGGGGCATAGTCCGATTGTTCCAGAGTGTGGATGTGGTCTTAAAGTGGTTGGCTCATGAGCTAACAATACCCAAGTATGAGTGTGTATTCTTCAAGAGTCTTATTTAAGTGTCTTTACAATCCTATATATAGGATTTTAATTGTTCTCAAGGGAATCTCTTATGTTAATAATAGGCCCCAACTCCATGTGTTTTTTTAAAAAAAGCATTGGTGAAAGAGTGTACTTTACAATAAAATAAAAAGCTTGAAGAATTTTATTTTTAAAAAGTGTTGCAAGGCTGGCTTATGAGGGGTATTGCTTCACTTTAGGAATGGGAGAAGAATGTGAGAAACTCAAGAGCATACATTGTTTTGGTCCTATGTAAGCACTGTTTATTGTCTTTCACATTTGCTTGAAAGGTCTTTAGGAAAACAAACCTTCTGTAAGCAACTTATGCTTTATCAGGTGTGCAGGGCAGGGAAACAAGACTCGGGATGACAGGCCTTTTTTCCTTCCTGTTTTTGCTTCACATGTCCCCACAATTTCTCCTGTCTATGTGGCCTCAGGAAGATAACTATAGCCTGCATGGAAGATAAACCTGAATGTGTTCTGGCTTTATTGAACAACTAAATACATACCTACACATATACACCATTTCTATGAAGGCAGGAGATTTAATATCTGGATGTAACAAAGTGATGGAAAGTCATGCCACAGTGCATAGCACCCTCCGGGCTCATCAACCACTCAGTCTTAGAATTTCTTTGCGTCTCATAACCATCCTTATTTGAAAGTTAGTAAAAACTCAGAGGAAAAGAATTCAGAAATATATGACCAACAGCGAAGGGAAGTTGTGGTGAGCAGACCCAGTGAAGCACATAAGATCTGGGCTCCCTCCAGGCTACCAGACCAGAAGTCTTGGAATCCCACTGCCCCCACCCAAACCTGGGGTTATATATAAGCATGACTTGCTGAGGTTGGGTCCAGAGTGCTCTGTGTTCTCTCTGCTGCTCTCTGGTCCTAGGATCCCTCTGTAATGGGAAAGCACCTCCTGCTGCTCCTGCTTGGCCTCTCCTTGCTGGTGGGCTTTCTGTAAGGTAAGACCCATGGGATATGGTAGGGGCTGGTACAGAAAAGCAGACATAATGATTCCTACAGAGGGCTGGGCTCTGGGAGGTGAGGAGCAGGTGATAGGACTTGATTGTTTTTGGAGGTGATCTTTATACCATCATCCCCAAATCCCACAGCACCACTTTTCTCATCTAGTCTCTGCTGTGCACACACACTGCAAGCTGCTTCCCTTTCTCTTCATTTTCTCCTTACCTTGGGCCTGGTCTTGTTACTCTTCCTCCTGTTCTGTGTCTCTCTACTCTTCTTCAGTTACCCTTCATGTTTAAATATTCTCAATTATTTGCGCTTACTTGTAATCGTATCAAGTTTGGGATGGAAATGGGTCAAGAAGAGCTCTTGACAGGAAAAAGGAAGGAGAGCAGTTGCGTGTCTTTTTCATGGACAGTGGCTCAGGCACCCTGCATCACAGACTGGATCTTCTTCCTCACAGCCTTGTCTGATCCCAGATGTGGGATGGAGGAATCCTCTCTCCTCAAACCACAACTTTGTATGGTCCAAGGTCATGGGTCTCTATGCAGAAGTAAGCTCAGCCTGCAGCTAGTTCCTTCCCTGGCCATTGTTTCTTATGATCAAAGTCACAGGCTCAGCTCTGTCTGATGCTTGAGGCTGTGCTGTGAATGAGGGAGCCTCTTTACACTTGTTTTTGTGTTAGAGCTCTGACATGTTTCCAATGTTCTGTGTTCAGCGCTAATGGAATTTGTTTGAAAAATGAAAGCCCATGTGAGGCTAAAAGTGGTGAGCAGTGTACCTTGCAAGTAGTTTCCATAGGTATGTAAGACCTGGGATGTCTCAGAGTGATTCTGTTTTCTTTCAGGGATACAGCCCTCCCTGGAGTCCTGGGGTCAAAAGCAGGGAATGTGGGATCATGTGTTTCCCTGTAAAATTAGCCAAAGGCACCTCTTGGTAAGACCAACAAACACTAAATGGAAAACATGTTTTTTTTGAAGAGTCTCTGGGTGGTCATCAAGGATCTTCTAGGAGAAAATGCTCAAGAATGACAGGAATTGGCCCTTAAAATTCTACTCAGTGTATTTGAGAATGGAGTTCCTTCCTGTGAGCCAGATTAAAGGTTGGGGATGATGACCCTGAGAGACACCCTAATCATCTCAATGTGACTGATGTACCTTCTACTGGGAGCCTGACTCATTAACTGGGTCACCAACTCTTTCCAGCAATATGTATATTTTGCCTCTTGTTCTTCCTCTCCAGGTGGTAGGATGCTTTATGGGTACCAATATTGTGCATCAATGGAACTACCACCAAGCAAAGTGTGACATTTCAATTTAAATGCTGTAGTGACAAGTCCTTCTGTAACGGACTATAGAAGTGACCCTTCTTTGCCCTGTTCTACTCTAGGTGAGCCATACGTCCTTCCCTGTATTACTGTAGTCTCACAACACTCCACCATCTATTCCCAGTCCTGCCCTAGCTCTCACATCTGCCTGTACTGAGCATCAGATGTTGATAATTCAACAGTTCAATTGGGGATAGAAAGATAGCTCTTTGCCTTCTACCATACTTCATGTCCCCTTTCTCAAATCTGGTTTCCTTCTTTCTTGTCATCCATTCCCCCATCACTGATTAACACGCAGCACATCTCCCTGCTCCTCTTTCATCTCTCTTTTCAATAAATGTGTCCTAACTGATAAACACTGTAATTAGGCACTGGTTCTCCAGAGTGAATATGACAGACCTGAGACCTGACACCTGTCCTTGATGATCCTTCAGATTGATGCTTTGTCTGACAAACTGGCCAGTAATCAATAGCTCCAGCATCTTACTTCTTCCTTATTTATAGAATAGAGGGAGTAGGTTAGTTAGCTCCTCTCTGCTGTGACCTGAGTAAAATAGTGTAAGAAGGGGTAATTTGTTTTAGCTCATGATTTCAGATGTTACTTCCACTATGATGGCAAGGCTGTAAGCAGGAAATATAGCTGAGTGTGATCAGAAGGGACCAAGCCAAGACACAGTGCCCAAGAATACATTACCCACTTCTTCAAATCAGGCTCTACCTCCCACAATCCTATCACCTTTTAATAATCTGGATAAATTTTGTGTGCATTAGTGGAATGAACCACTAATTAGGTCAGAAACCTCTAATCCAAACATCTGTGGAAATGTCCTCATAGGCACATCCAGGGATGTTCTTGACAAATTTCTTAGACATTCTTAATGCAATGAAGTGAATAATTAAAAGTAACCATCATGGGCTGAAGGGACTCCTTTACCAAACATTCATTTCCCATTTGTACACACACCAAGTTTCATTATCCTTTAGAAAAGATTTCACTGTTAAGCTTTATTCTTAGTAAATTCCATTGTTTTGAAGTTAATATTCTTTGGAATTCTTATTGTTATATTTTTTCCAGTAGATTAAATTCTCAACCTAGAAACTATGGACAGTGCCAGACAGAGGAAACATTGCTGGTAATTCCATCCTACCTTGCAGAGATACAGCTTGATTATACATTCAAGTGTATATTTCAAAGCTCTTAGAATCATGAGTAGGTCATGATATGTATTTGTATTTAAACACAGATATTGAAATAATGATAATCTTTGTGGTTTTTTTTTTCAGTGCTGGTCATTGAATCATGGCCCTTGAATATTCCAGCAAACATTCTACTACTGAACCATGTATCAAACTCTACTCCCTGCTTTATGCATTACATATCTTTGATGTTTTTACTTTCCATGTATATTGCCATTTTCTGTTGGGTGCTTTGTAATGCACTGTATGCCCTACAAAAATGGTTTCATTAATTCTATACAGTTTTTATTATTTAAATTATAAATCTATTCTCAATGTATTTATTTATTTATTTATTTATTTATTTGCGTGTGTGTGTGTCTGAATATGAGAGTGCACAGGCCAGACTATTGTGTCAAGGTCAGAGGTCACTATGAAAGTGTCAGTGCTGTCCTTCCACCATGGTGGTTCTGAGGATTAGACTCAATGGTCAGTCTTGGAAGCCAATGTGCTCACTGGCTGAGTCATATTGTTGGCCCACAATTTTTAAAATCAGATATTGAAGGGACTTGACAGATGACTCGGTGGGTAAAAATGATTTCTGATAAGTCTGATGACCTGAGTTCAATTCCTGGGACCACATGGTAGAATAACAACAGACTTAGAAATTAATCTTTTTTACTTCCACAGGCCTGAAGTAGCACATGTACATTTTTTTTTAGGTATACCACCTTCTACAATTTATCAAGCATATACTTTCTCCCAGCCATCATAATCATGACTCAGAATATTTGCATTACAACCAGAAGTTCCTTTGTTTCTTTGATATCATGAAGTCACATCCTTTCTGGAAGCCCCTCGCAATCACTGTGTTTTCCATTTTGTTTGATTGTTAGGTTCATAAAATAGATGCCCCTTCCCTTTTCTTTTGCCTTTTGTGAATTTTTTGCTTCCTTTTATTTGTTGATGCTAGAAACTGAACACATGGCCTTGTTCTTGGTAGGCAAGTGCTCTACCACTGAGCTAAAACCAAACCTACATGAAAAATCTTCCTTTGTTCATTTGTGATACTTGGAATTGTTAAGTACTGGAAAACATACATACAATAAATGTATGAGTGCATGTGTATAGCTGAAGGACATAGAACAAAAATCAGTATCAAGCAAGGGAAACCTCTCTTGGAGTTGTTGATCAAGTAGTCCCAAAGACTAGCAAAATAATATAAGCTATTGCCACAACCCTTGATTCTCTCCCAGAACTTGAAGGCATGGCGCTATTGAGACAGGAGATATTCTGGATAGAGGACTAGGAAGAATTGAGCAAGACTGGCGTGGTAACCTCCTCCATGAGGACTAGCACTCACAGTATCATAAGATACTAAGCAAGTTGCCAAGGGGGAAAACAAGCAATGATGGTTTTACCCAGGGGTAAAACCTATGAACCACAGAGACCAGCCCAGAAAATTATCTCTATTGCACTAGTGTCACTTTTATCTTGGAGGTAATCAACAGATATCTAATTGATTTAAGGCCTGCTCCATGAGAGAGAAATCATATCTACTGTAAACCTATCCAAGTAAACATGGCTGGAGATGTCATAGATCCTAGAAAAGAAACCTACTTCTGTAATTTCCCTATACCAACATAATTTCATACTATAAATATGCATCCTTACATTTACAGACCCCTCAACACACATCAAAGAAGCTTCTTTTTGCAACAGATTGAGACCATTATAAAGTTCCACACCTGGCCAAACACAGAGAACAAGTGACTGAGATGCCCAGTTCTAAGTGACACATCTACAATGTAACCTCTACCCCTAAGTCTCAGAGAACATAGCAGAACAGTGGGATGAAAGAGTGTAAAAGCTAACAAAACAAAATACCTCCTGCTCTTTAATGCATTCTGGACATGATACAGAAGCTACACCAATGAAATCTCCACAGTGTGATAGTATAACAAGATCTGCATATAATGACAAAACTAATTGACACATCAAGGTGGATGGGGGAAACTTCATGGTGTCCCAGGTCAAGATGAAGAGCTACAGGCAGTTAATGGGTGCTGAGGGATGGAGAATCAGTTTTCTGCAGGGACTAGCTCCCTGAGAGGTTATATGATTCTAAGTGGACTGCTGTAAACACATGTAAACATGAGCACCACTAAATGAACTCAGTGCATTAATATATGTATATTCATAAATGTATATATGTATATTTAACAATAATAAAGAAGGGGACAAGAAATTGTGAGGGAGAGGGCACATGAAAGGAGTTGGAGGGGGTGGGAGGATGGAAACCATGCAAAGACAATACACGTTTGATATTCACAAAAGTAGAAGAGAAAAAGAAAAAAATATGTTTGATGAGACTTAAATGCATTAATATTATAAACTTGGAATTGGAGCAGGGAGAAGAAAGGGGAAAGCTGATGGGTTAACAGAAACTACACATGTATTTTTTAAAACCCTTATGGAAGCTTAGTATTGTGTGAAATACTTGAAAAATATATTATGGGATGAATATATGGTTCAGTGGCTAAGATCTGGTGGTCTTTAGAAGACCTGAGTTTGGTTTCCAACTCCCATGAAGGTTGGGTAACAACTGCCTGTAACTTCAACTCCAGAGGTATCCAATGCCTCTTGCCTCTGTGGACACCCGTACTAATATGCACAGAATCACACACAGCACAAACAAATATATAATGTGAAATTTTAAAAAAATGTCTTTTCTTGCTTGTTCGCTCTTGCTTTTCCAAATTCTTAGAGCTGTACCATTATGTTATTTATTTGTGGTCTCTTGATTTTTTAATGTAGGTGCTTAGAGCTGTAAGTTTTCCTTTTAGGACTGCTTTTTAAAGTGCCATAGAGGTTCTGTTGTATTGGATTATCATTTTTGTTCAGTTCCAGGAATACTTTTATTTCTTTCTTGATTTCTTCTTTGACCCATTCATCATCTAGGAATGTGTTGTTTAATGTCCGTGAGTTTGTGTAGTTACCAGAGCTTCTTTTGCTATTTAAGTTTTATTGCATTCTGGTCAAATAGAACACACAAAATTTTTTCAATATTTTGTATTTGTTGAGACTTGTTTTGTGCTCCAGTATGTGATTATTTTTTTTTTAGAGAAACTACATGGGTTGCTGAGTAAAATGTGTATTCTTCGGTGCTTGAGTGGAATATTCTGCAGATGTCTCTAAGGTACATTTGATGTATGATATCATTTAATTCAGATGTTTCTCTGTTTATTCTTTAACTAGATGACTATTGGAGAAAGTGGGATATTGAAGTCATCTACCACTACAGAGTTGGGGTCTTGAAGTTTAGTAGTACTGTTTTTATGGAATTGTGTGCACCAGAGTTTGATGTATATAAGTTAATGATTGTTATGTTTTCTTGGTCAATTGTTCCTTTGATAAGAATGTAGTGGCCTTATTTACCTCTTCTGATTAATTTTAACTTGAAGTTCATTTTGTAATATATTAACATAGTACCTCCTTCCTGTTTCTTAGTGCCATTTGCTTGAAATATTTTTTTCCATTCTTTCACCCTAAGGTGGTACCTATCCTTGGAGGTATGATGAATTTCTTGTAGTCAGTAAGTACTTGCATTTTGTTTCTTTTTAAAAATTTATATATATATTATTTTTTAGAAGAAGCATTTCATTATAGCTTTAACATACTCAATAACATTTTCCAGAGCAAAGATACATGTCTTTCAAAAGTGGCTATAAAATTTTTAAGTTTACTGTTGAATTAATACAGTATACAATATTGACTCAGTATAAACCCTGTAAGACATAAAATTGAATGAGTTTTTAACCTTTAAAAAAGATCTTCATTTTATTTTAAAATATACTGTTTCTTACAAAAAGACTCATTGTTTTTGCTAATAACACTTAGATATTGGCGCATGCATCTCTAATCTGTATGTATCTGATTATTACTAGTAATAGGCAGTTTCACTCAGATCCTTGGCACCTGTGTGTGGCTATAAAGTCATTGGGTAGATTTCAACAGTAATGTTTATCACCTGTACTAATTAACATGATGTAAATTTTTATGCCTCCTCAAATATAACACATTTTTAAAAATTTGTTGATTTTTTTGTATATATCACACAGAACATCCCAAACCATCTTATTCATCATATACACCCACTTCCCAGATGGCACCCACTAGAGCCCTTATACTCTTTCATCCCTGCTGCTGTCCACTGTGTTGTTAGCACCCCCAGCTGTTCCCCACTACTTGTCCATCTGGTGAATCTAGTCAGCCTACCTAGAGGTCTTTGTTTTAGGAAAGCCAGCTGTTCCTCATCTAAAACATCCCAAACCATCTTATTCATCATATACACCCACTTCCCAGATGGCACCCACTAGAGCCCTTATACTCTTTCATCCCTGCTGCTGTCCACTGTGTTGTTAGCACCCCCAGCTGTTCCCCACTACTTGTCCATCTGGTGAATCTAGTCAGCCTACCTAGAGGTCTTTGTTTTAGGAAAGCCAGCTGTTCCTCATCTAACAGCAATGAGTTGTCAATATTCCTTTAGATAAGATTGGGGTCTACTGTTCATTTTCCCAGTTCTATGCTGGGTTACAATCTGGGAGTCCCTTTGGCCACCCTGGCCAACAACTCAAAAGAAGGTATCTCCTATCTGGCATTGTTGCT